GCCGCGCGCGGCGCCGCAGCCGCGCTCGGCCCCGGCCGCAGCCGCCGTGCAGCCGCCGGCCGCGCCGCTGGTGCGCCAGCCGGTGCCCGCGGCTGCCGCACCGGCGCCCGCGCAGCCGCCGCAGCCGCGTGCCGCGGCACCCCCAGGCGTGCCTGTGCTCCCGCCACACCTGATGATGGGCGCCCGCGCGCCACTCGTGACCGCCGCCCCGGTCGCCGTGGGCGCGGGGACGCCCGTGCTGCCGCCGCACCTGATGGGTCGCCCTCTCGTGCAGCCGGCCGCCCCGCCGGCCGGCACGGGGGCGCCGGTGTACCCTGCCCACCTCGCGCCGCTTCTTCAGCAGCAGCAGCGCCACGCGCCGGCGCAGCAGCAGCAGCCGCCGGCCGCGCCGGCGCCGGCGTCTGCGGCGGCCATGCACCTCCCGCAGCACCTCCGTGTGGCCCCGCAGCAGCAGCAGTTTCAGCAGTATCCGCAGCAGTATCCGCAGCAGCAGTATCAGCAGCAGCAGCAGCAGTACCAGCAGTACCAGCAGCAGCAGTATCAGCAGCAGCAGCAGCAGCAGCAGCAGCAGCCACAGCAGCCACAGCAGCCCGCCTCCGCCGCCGCTCCGCCCGGCTGGCCGCTGGGCACAGCACCCCCGCGGCCCGCAGCGGCGGCCGCCCCCGCGCCGCCGGCGCCGCCGGCCCCTGCCGCCGCCGCAGCAGCAGCGCCCGCGCGGCCGGCCAAGAAGAAGAAAGAGAGGGCGGTGGAATGCACCGTCTGCTTCCACCCGGCGGAACAGCAGGTGCTGCTGCGGCCCTGCAAACACCTGGAGTTTTGCGAGGGCTGCATCCTGAGCGTCGAGGCGCAGGCCAAGGGCGCGGGGCGGCCGCTCGAGTGCCCGATCTGCAGGCAGACGGTCGAGTCGTGGATCAAGATTTTCCGGTAAAACATGCAGCGGGCTATAATCTGCTCCGATCCAGCCCGCGGCCGCATTGCCGCCGGCGGCTGCGAGCGGGGCTGGTCGCCGCAGCGCACCGCGCCCGGTGGGCGCCACTTGGGCGAGGGTGTCGTGCGAGGCACGCGCGGCCCTGCCCGCGGCACGCCAAGCGTCGGCGGCGTCGGCAGCGCATTCCAGTCCCGCTTTGCCTCTAGGGACGCCGACGTGTCTACTGTAGCTGTACATCAAACCTGCTGCCTTGCGCGGTCGCCTCTGCTCCTTCCTGTCTCATCGCATCTCGTGCGACCCCTGCGGCTCGCATTGCATGAAGTAACGTTTTGTGTGAACCTGCGGGCGTGATGGCAGGCGCCCTGTCCTGTGTGACTCCCTTCGTGTAGCAGTGGGGCCTTTGGAAGGGCAGCGTGTGGGCAATGCTGGTGCTTTACGTCTTGAGGGCCATGGCCATGTCTGGAGCCAGGCTGTCCCGACAAAAAACGGGCCGCTGTGGCGGCGCGGCCAGGGGCAGTCCACAGCGGCCGCCTCGGCACGAGGTCGGGGTGGTGGCAGTCGAAGCATAGGAGCTTGTGCTTTCAATTGAAGCACAGCGGAAATCACAGAAGTCGCATAGAGCACGGGTGCAGTCACTTTCATCGCAAGCCCGCACCAACCTGGCACCAAGACGCATGTGCTGGGCGGCGGTGACTGAACGACATGACACACTGCAGTGGGTCACTTGATCAGAGCAGTCCACCGGTAGCATGAAACCAAGAGTGCGCAGTATCAATTGCGCTCGCACCAGACCGTTACACAGGCTCAAGTAATTCTCGGCGGCCTGGAGAACGCCCAAGTCGACCTACTTGATTTGCGCCGCAGCTCAGGCGTGCTTTGCAAACGCATACGAAAGTTTTATCAGAATTTCTGCGCTCGGTTGTAGAGCGCGGCGAGTTGCGGCGCACACGCGCCGGCAGCAGGCGGCGGCGGCGGCGGCGACGGCAGCAAGTGCTGCGCTGGGCGCAAAAGAGGCACACGCGCGACTGTGCTTGTCATTTCCGTGACCGTCAATATCCAACCAGAACTGGCACTTGCACCCTCAGCATTGCCCGCGGCGGCGGGACATCTAGGTTGCTGTTCTAGAGCGACAGCGGCAGCCGCGGCCTCCTTGTTGCTGCCGCATCAGCAGCCGCGCCTCCCGAGCCCACAGCAGTAGCAGCAGCAGCAGCAGCAGACATGAACAACGACGAGGTGATCTGGCAGGTGATCAACCATCACCATTGCAGCTTCAAGGCGAAGACCAAGACGCAGAACTTCTGCAGGCGAGCACGCAGCAGCTCCAGCCTTGTGGGACAAGGGGCTGGTCCTGTCTCAAAGCGGCAGGGCCCCGCCACGGCGATTGGACACAGCTGCAGCGGCGCGCCGCCGCTGCTCGCGCGCACGCGTGGTCTCTGCGTCTGCCCAGCGCCCTTGCACTTGACCCCTTGACCCGCGGCGCCGACGGCCGCTCTTGACCTGGAGCACCCGCGACCGTCCGCCTTCCGGCGCTGCGCCTGCCCTCCCCCATCCATGCGCATCATCACAGGAACGAGTACAATGTGACGGGCCTCTGCAACCGCAGCTCTTGCCCTTTGGCCAACAGCCGCTATGCCACCATAAAGGAGGACAAGGGGCGCACCTACTTGTACCTCAAGACAGCAGAGCGGGCGCACACGCCGAAGCACCTGTGGCAGAAGATCCGGCTCAAGAAGAACTACATGCAGGCGCTTGAGCAGGTGCGATCGCGCATATGTGTGTGTGTGTGTGTGTGTGTGTGTGTGCGCGCGCGCGCGCGCATGCGCGCGCGCACGCGCTTGAACGCGTTCGCTTTGTTCTAGGTTTGACCTCCACTTTTGATGGCTGGTCGCGCGTGCGGTGGTCCCTTTGCTGGGGCGTGCGTGCCGTCGCCACCGGTATCTGGCTTCTTGCAACCCCTCCAGCCCCAGCGTCCCAATGATCCTGTGCGTGAGAATCAATCATGTCGAGTCATTCGTCCAGGCTTCTTGATGCGGGGAGGCCTCCTCAGCTCCCCAACCTCCCACGCCTGGCGCAACAAACCATGACCCCCGCCGCCTGCCGCCCCCGCGTTTTCAAACGCGCCCCTGCGACAGCTGGACCAGCACCTGGCGTACTGGCCCAAGTTCCTGGTGCACAAGAACAAGCAGCGGCTGACCAAGATCACGCAGTACCTCATTCGGATGCGGAAGCTGGCCCTCAAGGCGCGACCAAAGCTGGTCACAATGCCCAAGAGGTGCGCGGCCGCCGCTAGCCACGCTCTCGTGCGCACGCACGCACGCGCGCGCGCGTGCATCAAGGGGACGCCGCGCCCCGCGCCGCCCGCCGGCGCAAGAGACCCGTGGCCGCTGCGCCTGTCCGCCGGCCGTGGCTGCCCGCGGCAGCGTTCCCTGCCCTACACCAGCCCACCCGCTGGCCGCCCTCGCTGCGAATGCCCCTCCTTGTGCCTTCACCCACCCCCTCGTCCCCCAATCCGCTCCGTGACCTTCACACCCCTCCCCCTCCTGATGACGTCATCGTGCCCCTCAGGACCGAGAAGATGGAGAGGCGGCGCGAGGCCAAGGCGGAGACGGCCGCGCGGCTCGACAAGAGCATCGAGTCTGAGCTGCTGAAGCGGCTGCAGGCGGGCACCTACGGGGACATCTACAACTTCCCCCTGAAGCAGTACGAGAAGGTGCGGGCCGGGTGTGAGGGGTGGCGGCGGGACGTAACGGGGCCGGCATGCGCCGCAGTGCACGCACGCACACACGTGGTGGATCAGGATTTTGAGTGAGAGGGGGAGAGTGAGTGTGTGAGTGTTTGTGTGTGTGTGTGAGTGTGTGTGTGAGTGTGTGAGAGTGTGTGCATGTGTGTATGTATAGAGAGGGAGAGAGTGAGGAAGAGAGAGAGAGAGAGAGTGAGAGAGAGAGTGTGTGTGTGTGCGCGCGCTCGCATGTGTTTATTTGGTTGCGCATGCGCACACCCACACCCACCCAAACACACATACACACACACACGCACGCGCGCCCGCACGCGCGCACACACACTCACACACACACACACACACACTCACACACACACACACACACACACACATGCACATAAAAACGCATATCCTGTGCTCACTTCTTATCCACATAACCCAGGTGCTTGACAAGGAGGAGATGGAGCAGGAGGAGGAGGAAGAGGAGGACCTGGATGTCGAGGAGTTTGTGGAGGGGGACGACGAGGTGCGAACAAGCGCTCGCATCATGTGCATGCTGTGCGTGCTGTGCGTGCTGCGCAAGTCCATGCGTTCTGTTTGTGCTGCGCGTGCTGTACGTGGTGTGCGTGTTGTGCTGTTAGTGCTGCGTCCGTGTGCGTGTGATGTGCCTGGAAATGAAGTCAGCAGGAAGCGGGGAGCTTCTGATTGTGCATTGAAAGCAGGGCACAGGTGCGTGGCACACACGTGCCAGAGTGGACGAAAGAGAGGGAGAGAGAGAGAGAGAGAGAGTGTGTGTGTGTGTGTGTGTGTGTGTGTGTGTGTGTGCGTGTGTGTGCGCATGCGTGTGCGCGCCGGAAGCTCTCATTTGATTGGAGCTCGTGCGTGCTGTGGCGCAGCCTTGGCGTTCAGCCAAAGCAGCAACGGCCGCGGCCCACAGCAAGGGCCGCCCCCGGCGAGCGCTGCCTGGCCCCACGGCTGCGCTACTGCATGCGCGGCGCATCGGCCTTGATCGTCAGGCTTCAGCTGACAAGTTTGACCACCGACTGGCTCACAAATGGGCGAGCAGGAAGATGAGGAGGAGGAGGAGGTTGAGTATGTCGACGAGGACGACGTGCAGCTGGAAGACTCAGATCTGGAAGATCTGGGGGCGGAGGACGACGAGGAGGACGAGGAGGACGGCAGCGACGGCGACGACGATATGGAGGAGCGGTCCAGCGGGGAGGGGGAGCCGGCGAGCGGTAGCGAGGAGGATGCGGGCGGCAGCGGCGGCGGCAGCGGCGACGAGGAGGACGGGGACGAAGGCGGCGCCGCCGCGCGGCGGCGGCCCGCGGCGCCGGCGGCGGGCAAGCGGAAGCGCGGGGCGGCGGGCGAGGCGGCGGCGGCGAAGCAGCCGCGGGGGCGGCAGCCGGCGGGGCGGCGGCGGCGGAACATCGAGATCGAGTACGAGGAGGAGCGCGAGGACGTGCGGCAGCGTCACTAGGCCGGTGTTGCAGTGTGGTTGGGGTGTTTCAAATCGAGTGTTTGGGGGTGGTCAGCCGCACCCAGGCTCCCACTTCACGGCGGCGGTCGCGGCCCAGCCATCAGCGGCGCCGTGAGGCCCTGGCCTTCTTTACGTCTCAAAGACGGTCAGACTATTGTAACCGCGATCGCTCGTGCTGGTGGGCACTTTCTGATATGTTCCGTGTGTGCTGCCCTGAAGCTGCGCTCACCAGCGGTGACAATCACGCCGTAGCGCAGGTTTGGATCACCCGCGTGGGCCAAGAGAAAGCCGAAAGTATGGGGCGTGCGCAAACACAGGTGCTTGCGCGTGACTCAACGTGTCCAGCCCGCGGGCCATTGGGAAATTGCCGTCGTTTTGGCGGCATGCACGACGTGTGAGGCCTTAAAAATCCAGAGCAGCGAGGCGTGGAGGTTGAGAGCGGGCGGCGCCCGTGGGCGCCGCCGTGCAGCAGGAAGCGACGGGAATGGCGGGGCCCGAAGACAACGACACTCCCTTTGCGTTTGCCGCGGCCCCG